CGCCCTGGAGTAAGGAAAGTTTTAGGTAGAAGGCGGGTGGCCAGGGCGGTGCCGGCAGGATAGGAGTCTACCAGGGTGGCACTGGTAATGATGGAAACCACAGAGGCGTCGACAGCAATGGAGACCATGGAGGAGCTGAGTCTTTAGGAAGCCATCAAGTGGGCATCTGTAGCATAAATGATTTCTGGCAGGCCAGCAGGTTTGATAACTTTGGGTGGTTCGGCTGAGAAATGGGGGAACAGGAAACAGCCTCCATGGCTGTGACGAGGGAGCTAGAAGCACTGGAAATCAGAACGACCTTCATGGCTGAGATGAGAGAACTAGGAGCACTGGAGATAGGATTGGCCACTATGGCCGGGGATGGGAATTTTCTCGGAAGGATCTACAGATGTACAGTATGTGCCGCCCACCCAGACACAAAATGGCTGTTGCCATCAAGGACAGCGCTGCACTCTCTAGGCTGAGCTCTGAGAGTTCAGTGGGCTCCTGGCTGAGATCTGAAGTTGGGGCGGACACTGGATCAGGCCCTGGAAATTCCCTCTCTGGAGTGGGCTCTGGAATTTCACTTTTTAGAGCGGACTCAGGGACTCATTTTGCTCTCTGGAACAGACTCTGGTATTTAGGGACTGGCAAGAAGGAAGACATGGAAGGTGTTCCGTTGTATGTGGTAGTTCGATGGAAAAAACCTCTGTTGCCAGGATGTCTGAAGTGGACTGGGAAGATAGCGATTGAGTGGAACTGGCGTCTTCATCAACCTCGCCAACAGCGAGAACAAATACAGGTTGGTTTATTAAAGCAAAACTGTGCACAAGGTGAGTAATAGAGCAGTAAAGATGTTGGGAAATGTAGTGCAGAAATGTCAGGTGATAGTGAGATTGTGGTACCCCTATTATAGTAATGATAATTTTTATTGAAATTATTGTATTTTTTTAATCACCATAATCTGGGCAGTACAGAAAATATTACTAATATTACTGTACAAATCCCTCAATTTAAATATTGTATTAATATTTAGTTTAATTAAACATCCTAAAATGCCTCGTTTAAACACGCCCCCACATGTCTACGTCACTTAGTGGGAAGATTTGCATAACAATAATGTACAGTATGTGGAATATAATGTGTTTTTTTTTACCTTAAACTGCATAAACACATTTCATTACACCAAATACACAAAATAATGTTATTTTTAGCAACATCATATGACCCCTTCAATTTTCCCCATTACTGTAATGAGATTTTTATATATAGTATTCATATATATATATATTTTTTTCATTTTCATGTTAATTATAGCAATTTTTTTATGTCTATTTAGTTTTTATTATTTTTTATTACATTTTTTAATTAGTTTTATTAATTTTAGTACTTCAACTTAAGCTAAACGAAAATTAGAAATGTTGCCTATGTATAGATGTGAAAATGTGGAAACAGAAAATATAGAAATAAAATATAATTCAAAATATTAAAAAATAGTATCAATGACACTAAAATGACACTCTTCTGAAGTCATATGATGCTTTAAATTAAATCTAAAATTTTCAGAAAACATTCTATGATCATCAAGAAAAAAAATTGTTTACTAAAAATTGTGATTTCTATCAAAACATATTAAAATCAATATTTAAATACTAAACAATAATGGATACTACTGGGTAGTGGGTACTAAATAAAATGGTAAATTAACTTACCTTTATCCCAGATTTTAGGTTAAAATCTGTCTGAATGTATGAGGGAAAGTGTATATTCCTCCTTGGCTAGAACCCTTAGAAGTCAGCAGCAGACAGCAGGCGGTTCAGTAGTTGGGGAACAGATTGCTGGTTTCAGGTCAGCAGACGGCACCTGTAAAATGCTGCATGGGCATGAATATGATGATATGGACATTTGGCTCCATATAATATTGTATGATAGCGATGCTTCACACGGGACAGTCACTTCAGTGGCATTCAGGGCCATTTTTGTGAGTCATTTAGCACTTTATTGGCAGATAATGTTAGTGAAACTCCCCAGCAGTGCAGATTTCTCACAAAAAGCGTTCAGGATTGCATTAACGGACTGAAAACCAAAAATAACTCAGACCAGGGCTACATTACACATACAGATAAAAATATGAATGTTTTTTGCTGGTTAAAGTTCATTACAGGCCTTTTCAGAGTGTAGATTTTACAACATGGCATTATTAAAAAGACTGAAAAATAAGGTGTGAGCTGCTATTCATGTTATTGCTATAGCTTTAGATTAATTTGCATCTGTTTTTATTTCCCATAATGAGTTTTACTTTATTAAAACTCTTCCTTTTGGTAGTTGGTTAAAGTTTTAATTAGTTTTAACTTCTAAAGTTGACTAAAATCACTGGTGTTATTATAACTGATGTTGACAATCTAATCACTTCACATTAGATTTGTTTGTGGACTAATGAGTTGGGGAGTTATGTGTACATAAACCTCCAGTCCATCAATTAACATCTTATGAAACCAAAAGCTGCATATTTGTAAGAAAAAAAAAAGCATAATTAAGACTTTTAAACTTCAAGCTAATCCATAATAGCGCTTCCTAAAAAAAAAAAAAAGAAGAAGTCCATCCCCTGTTGTCCTCTCGCATCAAAATACCCACATATTATTGTAGAACTGTTTTCATTTGTGAACGGTGCTTGAGCTGTGCATATTTCTCTTCTGATTCAGACCAGATGACTTTTTCACTGGAGGAAGCTTTATTATGGATTATGGACTTGTATTTTAGCCAGAAACGACAATTTTAAGTTAAAAACATCTTAATGATGGATTTGTTTCTTACAAACAAGCAGCTTTTGGCTTCACAGGGCATTAATTGATGGACTGAAGTTGTGTGGATTACTTGGATTATTGTGATGTTTTTATCAGCTGTTTGGACTCTCGTTCTGACGGCACCCATTTACTGCAGAGTATCCATTGGTGAGCAAGTGATATAATTCTCAATTTCTCCAAATCTAATGAAGAAACAAACTCATCTACATCTTGGATGGCTTGAGGGTGAGGATGTTTTTCCAGCAAATGTTCTTTTTTGGGTGAACCATTGCTTTAATTTGAAGTGGTTTCAAATATTTGTGCAAAAGTGAGTGTTTTGAAGTTCGATTTCCATTTCGTTTATCCAGCACTGAACATGAATTCTCCATTTATGTTTGATGCTCTGTGCGATTCTCTCTTTGATAAGAATCAATTAAACCCTCCAAAGATGTTTGGTGCAGTGATGTTGACTCAAGGCTTCCCATATTTAAAAGTTATATTCTAATCAATCAGTGCTTTAGGTATCTTCAGCATATTCACAGACATTTAGATGCTCACAGATGGTGTTTACGCTGCGGGTCAGTCCATACTCACTTGATAAGCTGTAATATGAAGGTGAATGTCAGTCTCCTCTGGTTCTTTGTATTTCTAACATGTTGTGTGTGAATCTTTGATGATTTAATTCATAACACATCAAAAGATGGAAAGCTTTCAGGAAGAGCTGTGGACTAAACACATCAGAAATAGTCACATCTCTGAACCAGTGATTTCTGATAAATCATTTAAAAGGTTTGTTTTGTCTCTAGCTACAGTAAGTACATGCTTTTAGTAGAAGAATAAAGAACTACACAAGTAATGCCCTCTATTTTTCTTCAACTATTGGATTGCATCTTTAAGCATTTCAATGTTATTGTAAAGTATTTTAACCATCATGCTTCTTTCAGATTAACGTTTCATTATATTTATCATAAATTAGTGATTCACTTTTCAGAAATATGACTATTAGCCAATAAAGTAACATTTGACCACTGCAAAAATACAAGAAAACAAACTCAAACAGACTGGCAGCCAGTGTTGTTATTGTAAACCAAAACTAAATCTATTTCAATAAAGTTGAAATAATATATACAATATTATATATACACAGGTGCATCTCAATAAATTAGAATGTCGTGGAAAAGTTCATTTATTTCAGTAATTCAACTCAAATTGTGAAACTTGTGTATTAAATAAATTCAGTGCACACAGACTGAAGTAGTTTAAGTCTGGTTCTTTTAATTGTGATGATTTTGGCTCACATTTAACAAAAACCCATCTCAACAAATTAGAATACTTCATAAGACCAATAAAAAAAAACATTTTTAGTGAACAAAATTTATAATCTAATTCAAAATATTAATATTTTAATAGTATATAAATATATATTCTTGTTTTTCATAGATAGAAAATAGAAATAGCAGAATATTTTTTTCTTTGAGGATGTTTGAGAAGTGTCATGTAAACTAATTGTTTTTATTTTTTTCTTTGAGGATGTTTGAGAAGTGTCATGTAAACTAAAACAATATTGTTTTTATTGAAATAAAGCTGAAACAAAACAAAATAAAATACAATTTAAATATTAGATGAAAACAATCTTAACTGAAACAAAAAAGATTGACATGAAGTACTAACATTACTTAAACTATAAACTGAAATAAAACTAAATTAAATATGAATATAAAAAACAAAGCCCATAACAAAATTACTAAAATTTAAATTTAAATATTTAAATTAAATTAAATAAAAAATATGAATATTAATACTATAATAGTAAATAAATACCAAAACACTACTGCTGGCTAGTAATATTAATAATAAAGTAAAAAAAAAAAAAAAATGGAAATATGCAGCAAAACAAATCTGACAGTGGTGTTTATACTAAACAGAGAATGTTAGTGTGATAGGAGTCAATTTATTTGTTCTTGTTTTTAAAGAAAAACAGAAATAGCGTAACATGTTTCATAGAGGATGTTTGATGCATGTTATAAAATTCCCTGTTCTCTTAAAATTTGCTTTATATTGACATATTAAAAGGGCCTTGATGTCTCTCTCAGACAAAAGCAGAACAAGAGGGTTTGGTCATGAAGAAACCGTATGAATCTCCGACCTGCTGAATTAATCTCACATCTCCATTGGTGTTTTCAGTCATCCTGATGGATGTCAATGGTTGTTGAGCGTGTGTTTGCTCTCTGGTCTCAGCAGATTCCCTGTTCAGCGGCCTGGGCCTCGGCACGGTGGTGGGTCTCGGGGTGGCAGTTCTTCTTCTGCTACTGGTGCTGGTGGACGTCAGCTGCTTCTTCTTGCGTCAGTGCGGCCTCCTCATGTGTATCACCCGCAAGCTCTGCAGCAAGAACACCACCAGCGGCAAGAGCAAAGAGCTGGAGGAGGGCAAAGCAGCATACCTGTGAGTTCACCGCCATTCGTTTTGCATGAGCCCCACTGTCTCTCAGTCTGTTCTTCTTTCTCATTCGCTCGTCATTCCACTAGATATTTCGTTTTATGTTATGCATGATTATCTGTGAGTATCTCAGTCATATCTTAATGAAAAACAGACATTAAACCTGAATTATGATGATCACATTGATCTGGTTTGATGGATTTTTGGCAGCTGGTCAGACTAGAAGACCATCTTAAACCAAAAATTATTTTTGAAAATGTTGCTCCAACATTGTTTTCTCAATCAACATTGAAACGTCTCCTTGAATCCTGAAGGATTTTGTGTGACTGAAGGTTCAGTTTGCTGAAAGTAATACTTTTATTCATCAAGGATTCATTAAATTGATCAAAAGTGACAGTAAAGATTTATAATGTTACAAAAGATTTCTAATTCAAATAAATGCTGTACTTTTAAACTTTCTATTTATTAAAGAATCATGAAAAATAAAATGTATCTGTCACGCTTGTGTCGAGGAAGGCACACGAAGACGAAGGTAAGTTCTACAAGTAGTGTAATAGTAACCAAGAAGAAGGTAATCCATATAGACAAGGCGTAAACACGAAGCAATACAAACTTAATACCGGACGAAGACTAGAACTAAAAGAGTGAGTTTAAATAAGGCTGGCAGCTGATGACAAACAGGTGATGGGAATTAACTAATAAGCACTAATGAATCAATGAACTAAACGAGGGCACAGAATAACTACTGTAAACAGACCAGATGACGAAACAAAGTGAAAACACAACGAAAGAGTTCATAACTGTTACAGTATCATGGTTTCCACAAAAATATGAAGCAGCACAACTGTTTTCAGCATTGATAATAACCAGCGTATTAGCATAATTTCTGAAGGATCTTGAGACACTGAAATGTAATGATGCTGTAATGATGCTGAAAGTAAAAATGCTGAAAATTCAGATTTGACCACAGGAATAAATTACAATTTACAATATACTCACATAGAAAACAGTTATTTTTAATTGTAATAATATATCACAATTGTTACTGTATTTTTGGTCAGATAACTGTAGCCTTAGTAAGCAGAATATAAATTTCTGTAACGATTTACTGACCCCAAACGTTTGAACGGCCATTGAGAGATGTTTGGTTGAAAAAAATGTCAGAAAATTGTTATCTTCATGAGACTGTGTGTTTGCAAGTATCATATAGCATAATTTTAATCATTTTATAATAATTTTAACATTCACATGTGAAGAGCTGCTAATAAAGTCTCCTCTGAATCTGATGATTGATAGAAACTGACAGTCATTATCTACTGTAATAATGAGGGCTGAATTTCACCCTCAACTAACAAATCATTTCATAATATATTCCCATTACCATTAAACGCTATTAATAATGTGCACATATAGATATGCAGTAATCTACACATTTAATAACGTTCTGCTGAGTGAGTTCAGTAAATGATCAGACAGATGATGTTGTTTGCTTTAGCATTAGACAGATATCATGAGATCCATTTGCTAATAAAAGCACTAGTCTATTGATCTGTTTGCATTAGAGGCACATTAAGTCCAGTGAGTTTACCATCATAATCTTCATCTGAGAGTCTTATGGAAAATTCTATCAGATATTATTTCACACAGAAACAGCTGAAGTCCTCACTATAGTGTAGTTAACATTGAGACATAAGTCAAAATAAAATCTCTGGAAATTGAGATTTAGATTTAGAAGAAATGATATTAAAACATCCTTAAAAGTCCTCACTCACTTCTTTAATAGATACGTGTACACAACTGTATTGAGAATGGAATACAAGCTTAAAGGAATAGTTTAGCCAGCAATGAAAATTGGCTGGAAATATACTCACCGTCAGGCCATCCAAGGTGTTGATGAGTTTGTTTCTTCATCAAATTTGGAGAAATGTTGCATTACATCACTTGCTCACCAATGGATCCTCTGCAATCCATCAAGAGATTTCTTTTTTTTTTTTTTTTTACTTCAAACTTTTTTTCCCAGCTTAAATACGAGTCTATAATCCATAATAAAGCTTCCTACAGTGAAAAAGCCATCTGGTCTGAATCAGAAGGGAAAGATCAAGCACCGTTTACAGGCCAAAACACTTCTAAACAAATGCGTGGGTGGAATTGATGTGAGAGGACAACTTAGAGTAGAGGTCGACCGATATGGGTTTTTCACTGGCCGATGCCGATGCCGATATTTAGAAATCAGGGCAGCCGATATATGATGCCGATTTTTGGGGCCGATATGTTTGGCTGATTTTCTTTTCTTTTTTTTCCCCTTCATCTCATAAAAGTGAGTTTTGAGTAAATTATTATTGCAGGGTACAAGATAGTAATAGTAGTAGTAGCCTAATTCAGAGTAATAATACATGTCTCAAAATTTAGCACCTTCTCAAAACAGTTCTGAAGCATGCTTTTTGTTTATGTTTGCTGACAGACACCAGTGTTTCCCACAGACTTGCAAATGCAAATTAATTCTCTGCCAGCAGGAGGCGCTGCTGGAGCGGCGATATAGCGGTTTCCCCGGTAACGGCTGTAATCAAATAAGCACTGTTTTCACAAACGCTACTTTATCAGGCATTACAGGAAAGACGAAATGAAAATGACACCGAAGCTTTTCTGAAGACGCTCGGTTCTTTTCAAAGATACATTCATATAAAAACACCAGCGATGCATTTTAATTTTGAAACGTGCAGTGATCAGTTTATTCAACGAAGTAATGACTCAATGTATGGGAAACACTGGACACTGCTATAAGTCAAATGGCCAAGTGATAACAAAAATAAAAGAGTTACACATATTACACAGCCTGCTGCTCGTAACTGCTTAAGAGTGCACTGGCCACGAGCGATGACATCGTGGATGCTATTGTCGGACCTACACACAAATTTCAGAGGAAAGTTAACGTGCACGTTATAATCAGCCCAGATGTTTAGTCTGAATTGCATGTTTCTACTTTCACATGCAAATGACATGTTGCACTTATGAATATGATAACTTTCCTTCATCAATTCTAGTAGAGTAAAACGAAATTACGCTTTTGAAATGGTCTGTTTTGCCCTGCCATCATTAGCTGAAGCTGTGTGTGAACATTAAGCGGCTGCAGAGTGTGAGTTGCTCCGTCTCTCACGCATCCAGAGAGAGATTCTCCGGTGTTCCACAACAACGCTTAGCTGCCCGCAGATGCACCTGCCTATAAATCATCCTAATTTGCTGCACAATCGGCCGATGCCGATTAATTAAAAAATGCCAAAAATCGGCCGATTAATCAGCCGGCTGATCAATCAGTCGACCTCTAACTAAAGCCTGGCTCACACTACAGGATTTTTAGCCCGATTTAGCCCCGATTTCCCCCTCCCGAGAACCGGAGCAAAAATCTTGTCGAGCCCCTCGATCGGTCCCGATGTTCGGCGCAGATTATCTGGTAATGTGAGGCATTCACAGATCGAATTTTGCACCTCCCGATCTGCTCGCACACAAATCGGGGCCGCCCCGATCATATCAAACATGTTTGATATTTAGGATTGAAATCGGGATGATGACGGCTATATGATTACGTCAGTACTTTCACAATAGCCAATGCACGACCGCAAAACAGCTGCTGTACGGCTCCATTGGATAGTGGAGACGGAGGAAACTGCTTAATGTTTTGTAGTAACACGACTGTCCCATTTAAAATGTAGAACTTTGTTTTTCGGCCACACACACGTTGCAAAGTTTTGGGAATGACATCCGCATATTTATGCTGGATTCGCTCTCAAAGTAGTAGTGATTGACATAGTGATAACCATAGCAATAGATGGGACAAAATATGTGAAAATGTGCATAAGACTAGAGCACCCTCACTAATGTCAGAAGTACCCTCAGTGATTATTTCTGGTTGGTACGCTTTTATTGTATAGCCTACAAAAACAACAAAATACAAATGCACTAGATAAAATAATTTAATAAATGCATATTTACAATTTAAGCACTTAACTAAAATAAGTATTAAATAATTAAATAAATAACTAGAGAAGGCTGACTATAACCAGTTTGCTTCCATTTAGTAAGAAAAGCCTTGGCTACTCTTCACCTGAATTAGAAAAAAAAGCTCTTCTGGTGTTCAGTGATGCGAAGACAACGTTTGAGCGTGCACACGCAATATCTGAGCGAGAGCAGAGCCAATTCATAAAATAAAAAAAACAATGTATAGTTAAAAGCACACGTCCAGTTTTGTATGAGTGAAGGAATCCACATGCGGATTCTTGCGGTGAGATTCTTGCTCACGCATTACATGGATCGCGTAACATTATGCGCTCTCGACATTTGTCATTAAGATCACGCTATAGAAACCGCTTAAAATTAAATATAAAGAAGAGAAGAAAGCGGCCCTAGGCAGCTGCCTACACAGGATCCGTCACTGCCAGATGCAGTTAGAAATTATATAATTATTATATAAATATTGCAAGATATATGGTAGGAGGGCACCTGGGGTGGCCAGCCAGATTTTAGGGGGGCGATCACGAGGCGATCACGTGAGGCGCTCCCTCTGGCATGATAATCTTAATAATATCTTGAAGTGTGTGATGCGCCATGATGTTCAAATCTTGTAGTGTGTGCATGTTTAAGATTTGAGAGAAGATAATCTAAAAAGATTCTCCTTATGTGTGTGCTGCAACCAGATTTCATAATCGGTTAGGATTTTAAAACTCCTGTAGTGTGAGCCTGGCTTTAGAGGAAGCGTTATTATGGATTATGCACTCGTATTGTAGCCAGAAGCAATGGTTTGAAGTTAAAGGAGACATAACACACAAAGTTTCTGCCAATCTCATGTTAATCTTGAGTACCTATAGATTAGTACTGCATCCTTCATATCTCCGAAGAGTCTTTAGTTGTAACATATTTATAAAAGACAGATACAGCTTTATGCTTCTCTCCAAAAACTTTCGAAGTCCTGGAGGCGTGACGTGGGCGGAGATAAAGAGTCACGAGCACACAACGTTTTTGCGTAGCGATCATCTGCAAGCTGTGACATTGACAAAAATAAAACGGGAACAAAAACTTGATTGACTTAAATTTTATTTAATTTGTTTATAAAACAGTTGTCACCGAAATGCCGGGAACAAACAAACACACTTGCACAACTCCATTGCTGCTCCGGTGAAACAAACTGCATCCACTGTTCCCTTAACGCTGGGTTCTTTGGGCAGCTGAACAAGGTTATCTTCCCCTCACAACCAAAAACACACTTATAGTGACATTGTTGATTTTGTGACAAATCCTTCATCGAGCAAGTCCTGTGCAGCACTGCAGATGACTTCTGTAACCCGAATGAAGCACGTTGATGGGCGTGCGCTTGCTCTAGTTGATGTGTGTGCGCTCTTCCTGGAGAAATGTCCATACAAGGAATTCTGCCCGTTATGACGTCATACAAAAAAAAAAAAACTTTCTGCAACTTATACGAACCCTGAAGGAGTGCATTTAGCACAGAAATAATCCATCATACGTCCAGCTCGTTTTTTGAAACTTTGGCCATGTTTAGCATAATAATCCAGCTGTTTAACAGTGTAAATATGTCAGAATGCATGAAATAGCATTAGAACCCCCCCCCCTTAAAAATGTCTTAGTCGTGTGAATTACTTGTGGATATATTATGTTTTTATCAGCAGTTTGGACTCTCATTCTGATGCCACCCATTCACTGCAGAGAATCCATTGAAGAGCAAGTGATGCAATGCTACGTTGCATCCAAATTCTTTTTTTCTTTTTCAGTTTCACTGATTTTAATTAATTTTATTCAGTTTCATCACATTCTCCAAATCTGATGAAGAAACAAACACATCTACATCTTAGATGCCATGAGGGTGAGGACATTTTCAGCAAATTTCATTTTGGGGAACTATTGCAGTCCATACTATGTAAAAATAGTTTGTGAACAGTGTGCAATGATAAACAATAAGTGAGTGAGCTTGAAATAATAGTTGAGTTGTTTGTTTGTGTGCCATTCTGAACATTTCCAGAGTGCACTTGTGTTGCTGTGCGTGTTTTACTGTGATGGACACCAGCATGTGTGTTTGTGTGAGTAGGGTTGATGGCTCAAAGGAGCCCATCGTGGAGATGAGAACTGAAGAAGAGAGAATTACTAACCAGGAGGATGGCAGTCCAGTGCACGAACCCAATGAGACGACCCCTCTGACAGAGCCAGAGTAAGAATTAGAACTGAAATGTGAAGTGTGTCAAACACAATACAGGCTGTTTGGAGTGTTACAAGTGAAATTTAATAACCTAACCATTCAAAAGTTTGGGGTTAGTACAATTTTTTTTTTTTTTTTTGAGTAAAGACATTTATAATGTTACAAAAAAATTATATTTCAAATAAATGCTGTTCTTTTGAACTTTCTATTCATCAAAGAATCCTGAAAAATAAATGATGGTTTCCACAAAAAAACTTTCAACATTATTTCAACATTAATAATAATCAGAAATGCTTCTTGAGCAACAAATTACCATATTACACATTTTTAATTGTAATAATATTTCACAATATTGTTGTTTTTACTGTGTTTTTGATTTTTGGCCTTTGGTGAGCGGAAGAGACTTCTTTCAAAAACATTAAATAATTGTACCAACCCCAAACTTTTCAGCTGTAGTTTATGTTGAGTAATACCTGAGATCTCAGTCTTTGACTCTAACCCCTCTTAGATCTGTTAAAAATCAACCAGGGAACTCAGTACAATCCTTCAGTTAGCTCTGCCCTAGCAACCACTCAGAATGCCTTACTAATTCTCAAGGCATATGTGATCTCCTCAAAATAACATAAGCCTACATAACCTTCAAAATTCAAGGCTTTTAAACTTTCAGGCATGGTTTTATCAAGCCAAAAATTAATTTGTCTTTTGTAATATTTATTTTATAGTTTATATTAAGGATGCACCGATACCACTTTTTCCAGTACTCGCCCGATACCGATACTTGTGTTTTTGGTACTTGCCGATACCGAGTACCGATACCAATATTTTTGTTGCATTTGTAGATTTTTTAAATATTGGGTACAGAAACCAAAAGAGTATGTATAATGTTAGTTGGTTAACTTCATTTATCAAATAGATACATTCAAACCAAAATTTATTCAGACACCTTCAACATTTCTCACATTATCACAGTTTATTCGCTATAGTTTAGAAAATGG